CCAGCTGGTCCCATGCTAGTCTGACAATGATTAGCACACATGCTTGCCACAGAAATGTATCAGGGGACAGATGCATGTATACACTGACACCTGATATGTTCACAGTAACTGACCCAGGTAAAGATACACACCAATAACATGCCATATATTGAATCCATCGCTACATTACAACTGTATGAGTTTTTAGCCTTCAAAATTGCTTATTAAATAATTAGCTTTGACTAGAAAATGGAACTTATAGTAAACCCATTCCCAAATCTAAATGATGTGCTCATGATATAAAAAATATTTTTAAAAGACAGTTTAATACATTTTGTTTTCTGGTTTTACGTGTGAATGATAACTGGTGTTACTCTTGGCATTTATCAACGAAAAACTGGAGAAACTATTTTGAGCTACTAGCTGTTAGAATGGGCTGTTTTATCACCAGCCAGAGTCTGCCGTTGTTATGAGGATAAAGTTAGAAGTATCACTAATGCTGAAACATCCTATGATATTGTCCACTTAGTTACAAACAGGCTGCAGCGCTACACTTACTGTATGCCAACACTAAGGAGGAATACAGCTCAACACCTCTCCCTCCCCTGAGGGGCTCAGATCACAAGCTTGTTCATCTCCAGATGGTTTTTAAATCCCTTGTATACAGGGAGCCAGCTGTGACATGCTCAGGAAGAGATGAGGCTCAAGAAGCTCTGAGGGACTGATTCAGCTCCACCATGTGGGAAGAACTCTGTGCTCACTGTAGGAGGATATTGGCATCATGACCTACCTTATCTTGGAATACCTAAAGCTTTGCATAGAAAACACTTGTCTCATGAAGGTGTTAGTGGTTCTAAACAATAACATGCCCTGGATTGACCCTGAAATGAAGCCTCTTATGGAGGAAAAAAAGAGACTGTTTAGATCAAGAATCAAGGAGTAGCTGAGAGCAGTAGGAAGGGAACTAAGAAGAAAAATCAGATTAAGAAAAATATCTACAAACCTCCTGCTCAAGACCACACATCGGAGGTACTGCAGCAGTTTGAGGCTTATAGTAATGAAATTCCATCAAATCAAGATCCTTGTAAAGCCGGCCATACACTGTACGATTTTTTGCACTTTTCGGGGCGATTTTCCAGCTGTGTAAGAATTTTTTGATCGGGCCGACTTTCAGCCTGATGGTGCGTGGTGTACAGTAGTGTACAGCGGGTAATGAGGGGCAATCAGCCTCTCACAACAATCAGGATTTTGTTTAGTTTAGATAGATTCTAAGAATAGATTGGTTGATCTATTTGGTTAAAACTAGTTTGGTTAGATTAAACAATGTAATGATCAAAATCTGAGCAGGCCACTGGTTACAGTTGTAACATCACTGTAAAGTAGCATTGCTTTCAAGTGAGCTGTTACCATTGCTAGTGGCGTCATCTGTAAGACTTTAATTTGCATTTTTGAGGTTGTTGGTTCTAAACCCACCTCAGACTTTTGAAAGTTGCAATAATACTTAAGTAAGTATTTTGGCTAATGAGACTAACTTGTATTGGTTTGCCCTAGTACAAATATAGATTGGGTAAAAACACCGCCAAATTAGATTGGTTGGTTTAGCTAAAAGATTAGTTGAACACATAACTCTCAACCCGACTAAAACCAAAAACTGTGGAAAAACTATGTTTGAATAAAACGACTAACACCTTTATTTGCTCATCATTGCCCAATTTGCGAAAACACTTTCACTGTCTACTTGAGCTTGTTTCACTAGAATAGCAGACAAACAGTGAACCTTAAATCCATTTTTTTACATTTGACACTCAAAAAACATACAAAGGATTTTATTATACACTCCAATCATTAACAGTTTCAAAGAAACTTAAATAAGGATATTAAAAACAAGAAAAACAATTGCAAAAAATCACAGATTATATTATTAACTGTACTTCTTCCCTCCACCAGTAGGTGGTGACATGTTCACATGAGGCTTCATGAAATGTGGGGATCGTTGAAGCAATTTGACCAAAACGGTTCTATGCCAATGCCTCATGAGGCTTCATCTCACCATCACTAGTGCACACATACCAGATGCCATGGTTGGAAATGAGCCTCTTTCCTGAGGAGCAAAGGTTTGGCAATGGGCTGAGAATGGGCACCAGTTCGTTAAAGCTACAGTGTGTAATAATTACAGGGATATACAGTCAGAAATGTAATATATTATACATAACTATGTTATTTATCATCATCTACGAGCTCAGCCTCTTAACCTTAATATTTGCGTAGCCTTAGAATTCGTTATTTATAATTACATAGGAGCGGGTCTCGCAGCCATGGAGGCAGACATCTTTGCGCTACCGCAGCGCAGAGCCAACAAACTAGCGATTGCGAGATCGCCCATTACGCTCGAAAGTAACTACGGCAAGTTGAGAGAGATGAACTGAGACGGTACTGAACACACAGACTAATGAAATACTATCTGTAAAATTATCTATGTAAACAAACCTCATCACTTGAGAAGGTAGGTGTGTCAGAACCCTTGAGTGGAGTGTTTCTCTATTTCTTCTGGAGCACTGCAGGTGGGCGTGGCTGGCTGTATGAGCACCTGAGATCAATCAACCCATCCACCTGAGAGGGATTTAAGGAGCTGCAGCAATCTCTTCCACGCCTGATGGTCCCCATATTCTGGTACCAATTTAGCCCTCGTGAAATTCCCCTCGAGAAAGTTTAATCTGATTCCTGTTGAAAGCTTCCTGATAGCTCACCTCTTGTGTCTCTGGATTCCCAGGTTTAATCGAAGGGCTCCTGGACGGATCCCTTCTGCGTCTAACTCAGCGTGCTGATCCAATCTGCAGCTTAGTTTCTGTCAGCCTGCCTGCTCTCCACCGCCCCAGTGAAAACTCTCTGACGATCCCCTCAGTCTGACTGCCCGCTCTTCACCACCTCTGTGACAGCTCCGTGACCAACGTCTCCTCCCTCAGCGCACCTCCAGCCACCTGCACAGCCTGTGGCAGTGTATTCTAAGAGACTCTCAGTTATTCTCCATTCTGTTTTGGCTGAATTTACAATAAACTCTTCTCCCTTCAGTCGTGTCCGAGCCAGATTCTGCATGTGGGTCCGTAAGGTTCAGCCAGACATGACAGAACCATCAGGCCAGTCAGACCCAGTAGAATCACCTCCTGGTTCCGCAGCGGACCCAGCCGGTATTCTGGTAAAACACGAAAACATGTTGCAGTCCCTTTTTGAGCAGCAGCACCTCTCAGGACAACGCTTGGACCAATTAACAAGGTTAATGCACGAAGTTAATCAGAAACTGTCATGTCCTGTTCCAGCAGCAGGTCCGCCTCCTCACGCACAGTCACGTTTCCGGGACGCCTCCTCCCCAACTCCAGAGCCCTAGTCAGGTGAGATCGGGAAATGTGGGGGTTTTCTGCTCCAGTGCTCACTAGTGTTTAGTCGTTCACCTCAATCATTCCCCGATGACTCCTCCCGTATTTCCTATGTTGCCGGACTTCTTCAAGGAAGGGCTTTAAGATGGGTTGAGGCAAAATTCAGTCAACAGACCCTTTTTCGGAGATCCTATGAGGAGTTTATTGCTGAGTTCAAGCAAACTTTTGGTTATGCTGATTCTGAGGCTGATGTCACCAGAAAGCTCTGGAGTATCAAACAGGGGAGACAATCAGTGGCAGATTTTGCCATAGATTTTCGGACCTTAGCTGCAGCCTCTGGTTGGAACCAGCCAGCTCTTAAGGGAGCTTTCCGGCAGGCCCTCAATGAACATTTAAAGGATGAGCTTGCTTATCAGGATGAACCTGAGGAGTTGGAGGAATTCATCTCTTTGGCTGTCCGTATTGATAACCGGATAAGAGAGCGGTCCCGTGAGAAAAGATTTAGGGGGGGGGTACCGTCTCCCCAGCCAGCCTTTGCCAGGTCCACCTCAAATTCATCCACCACTACAATGTCCCCTGAGGACCCCATGCAGATTGGGCGTGCCCGTCTGTCAGCTGAAGAAAGACAGCGTCGTATGGACTCACGGGCATGCCTATATTCTGGCCAGGTTGGTCATTACAATGCCCTTTGTCCAGAGAGGCCAAAAGGGGGAGCCCACCAGTAGTTACGGGAATACTGGTGGGAGGGCCCAACCAAACTGCTTCCCGTTTCATCCTTCCAAGCTCTCTGCTTCTGAATCAAGAATCATTTTAGGTACCGGTGTTAATTGATTCAGGATGTGAACAAAACCTAATTGACTGTAACCTGGTTAAACAGTTAAAAATTAACACTTTGCCTTTACCTTCTCCAGTTCACGTCTCGGCTTTGGACAGTAAGCCTTTATCCCTTGTAACTCACACTACAGAACCTCTTGAGTTGGTTGTGCCTGGCAACCATCATGAGAAGCGAAACTTTTTTGTGTTCCCTTCTCCCCAGTCCCCAGTGGTCCTTGGCCATCCTTGGCTCTCATTACACAATCCACATCTGAACTGGAGAGAGGGTAGAGTTGAGTCCTGGAGCCTCTATTGTCTCTCAAGCTGCCTCCGTTCTGCCCATGTGAGTTCCCAACCCGCTGACATGAGGTGTGAGGTAACTGTTGACCTATCTAACGTTCCTTCTGAATATCATGATTTAGAACTGGTCTTCAGTAAGTCCAGAGCACTCTCTCTCCCTCCCCACCGCCCTTACGACTGCTCTATTGAGTTATTTCCCGGAGCCACCTTACCCTCTAGTCGTTTGTACAACCTCTCTAAGTCTGAGAGGGAAAGCATGGAGAAGTACATCAATGAATCACTTGCTGCAGGAATAATTCGACATTCTACGTCCCCTTTGGGAGCTGGGTTTTTTTTCCGTTTCTAAGAAGGATGGGTCTCTCCGGCCCTGTATTGATTACAGAGGACTCAATCAAATTACAATTAAGAACAAATATCCTCTACCTCTTCTAACCTCAGCTTTCGAGCCAGTCCAGGGTTCCAAGATCTTTACCATACTAGACCTCCGTAACGCCTACCATCTGGTTAGAATACGTGAAGGTGATGAAGGAAGTGGAGGCTGCCCTTCGTTGTCTTTGTTCATCTAATCCGACTGTTTGGAGTTCCCATTTGCCTTGGATTGAGTACTCCCACAACAGTCATGTATCTTCTGCTACAGGTTTTTCTCCTTTTGAGGTGTCGCTGGGTTACCAGCCCCCCCTTTTTCCATCAGAAGAAGGGCAGACATCTATTACTTCAGTTCAACATCATCTTTGACGCTGCAAGCGTATTTGGGAACAGACTCGGAGAGCCCTGCATCGAACCGCTGAACAGAATTGGCGCTATGCTGACCGGAAACGAGCTCCTGCCCCTGCCTACCGCCCTGGAGACAAGGTATGGCTTTCCACCAGAGACATTCAAATGAAATCAGCTAACAAGAAGCTTTCTCCAAGATTTATTGGCCCCTATGAAGTGGAATCTGTTTTGGGTCCTTCTTCTGTTCGTCTAAGGTTACCAGCAAGTCTTAAGATCCACCCTGTTTTTCATGTGTCCTTGATTAAGCCAGTCAGATCTAGCCCCCTGATCTGATCTCTCCTAAGCCACCTCCTTCCCCTAGGGACATTGGTGGGCACCCGGCGTATACTGTAAGGCAGGTGCTGGATGTCCGTCGGCGAGGCAGGGGTTTCCAGTATCTGGTGGACTGGGAGGGTTACGGCCCAGAGGATCGTTCCTGGGTTTCTCGTTCCCTTATCCTGGACCCTGACCTCATTAGGGACTTTGAGGATTCTCGTCCTGGCTCTAGTGGACCGCCAAGGGGCGGTCATTGAGGGGGGGGTGATGTCAGAACCCTTGAGTGGAGTGTTTCTCTATTTCTTCTGAAGCACTGCAGGTGGGCGTGGCTGGCTGTCTGAGCACCTGAGATCAATCAACCCATCCACCTGAGAGGGATTTAAGGAGCTGCAGCAATCTCTTCCACGCCTGATGGTCCCCATATTCTGGTACCAATCTAGCCCTCGTGAAATTCCCCTCGAGAAAGTTTAATCTGATTCCTGTTGAAAGCTTCCTGATAGCTCACCTCTTGTGTCTCTGGATTCCCAGGTTTAATCGAAGCGCTCCTGGACGGATCCCTTCTGCGTCTAACTTAGCGTGCTGATCCAATCTGCAGCTTAATTTCTGTCAGCCTGCCCGCTCTCCACCGCCCCAGTGAAAACTCTCTGACGATCGCCTCAGTCTGACTGCCCGCTCTTCACCACCTCTGTGACAGCTCCGTGACCAACGTCTCCTCCCTCAGTGCACCTCCAGCCACCTGCACAGCCTGTGGCAGTGTATTCTAAGAGACTCTCAGTTATTCTCCATTCTGTTTTGGCTGAATTTACAATAAACTCTTCTCCCTTCAGTCGTGTCCGAGCCAGATTCTGCATGTGGGTCCGTAAGGTTCAGCCATACATGACAAGGTGATGCGGACGTCGTGGAAGACATTTTGTCCCGTAACGCTCGCCGTACTGTTGGGGGGGAGAAGCGGTGGGGGGGAGATGTTCATGTTGCTGCAGTCTGCAGTCTGACTGCTAGATGTCGCTAAAAGTTACACAATGTAGCTTTAAGCCCTACCATGTACCACTGAACTATATGGAGGGGAATTTGGGTTTGGCTAGTGTGCTTTAGTTAATTGTCAGCCATCTTGTTTTCCCCTGTTTTTGTTTTGTGGTTTGGCCTAACCACAATATATGTCTCTCTGATGTGTCATTGTGTTAGATCAGTTTCCCTTGGTTAAGTTTGCTTTGTTTGTTAAGTTAAAAGTTAAGTGTGAAAGATTCAGTTCTCCTCTTTCATGTGCCAGCTGATTTTTGTATTTTATTCATTTGTTTAGGTTAAATAAAAACCCAGATTTTTTAAATTACCTCCTGTGTGCACTTTACCTTACTGCTTGATCCCTGACAAACATGCTCACGCACAATACTGCTGACTTGGTCCTTCTTAAGGCTTAGAGTTTATCGAACCTGTTTGGTTACGGTCTGACATTGCCAAAAATATTTAATAGAAGACATTATTCAATTTGCTCTATCTCTCCCTTTACTTATTTAAGATGTTCTGCAGTCATCTCCTCGATACCACATACCTTATTGTTCTTTAGAGCAATGAGTCCATCATTCATTACTTGAGCAGAAATGCTCATATCTTTATCATAACCCATGATGCTCACTACATATGAAACTTTATGTATGTTAAATAGTTTGTGATAGGGATTCTACCACATATATAATATTACTTGAGTACCTCATTTGTTTAAAGGTATTGTGAAGGATTTTGGCAAATTTTTTAAAAGACCTGCCCTCTCCACCTTATAAAAAAATGCACATGCACAACCCTGAACACCCTCCCTAGAGGGAATTCCTATTAAACTCATGCAAGAGAAGCCCATTACTCGAGCCCCTTACTTCTCGTGCATGCTCTCTTTAAATGTCGCTGTTCTCATACAAGCTTACTGTCTCAAAACCTCTATACGTACACACACGGACTACATATAGCAGCCTTTAGGACTGAATTTGGAAACCACGAGTTTAGAGATTTGCATGACATTGCAGAAATGTGAGGAACTCAGACCAGATATTGTTTGCAGTTTATGCATTTTATTAAGGTTTTATTAGTTGCAATGTGGCCAAGTTGTTCAGCAGGATGAATTCTCAAAGCCGAGATGGATTTTCTTTGTGGGAATAGATTGAACCTTAAACCTCTATTCCATAGAGAAAGTGTGAGGAGAATCAGGACTGGTGGAAACAATGTGGTTTCTGAAAGTTACAAGGTTCTTTAATATTACTCTGAAAAGTAATACTCTGACAACCACAACCTGGATGTATAAACATGTCTATGCATGAAGCTCGTTTTGATAAATCAAGTATAAGAATGTGAAAACAGTTATCCTGATTTGAGGAAAAATGTCACTACCATGCATGATGCTGATAAAGATACTCGTCTGTTTGATTCAGCTTAACAAAGCAGAAATTAGCAGCATCGGCTGCCTGATTGGCATGGAAAACAAAAGCACACAGTGCAGTCATTCTCTTTATTAGGGTGTTGTTGTCTTCTTGTAATGATACCTACACACCAACAACAGGATGCTCCCTCTCACTCCGAGAATGACAGACAACTATTTATACATTATACATAACCCTTTCTTCATTTCATTGTCCATACAGAGGCAACAAAACATGACCATCCTGGGTGGGAAGATAGCCTAAATGGGATTGAGCCGGAATATTTCTGTGTGGATCTGTTATATTTAAATTGTTTTAGGGCCTATTTGATCTGTATTGTAACTTTTAGTTTAGCTTTTAACTTCTACATCTTACAACAATTTGCATCTTTTAGTCAGGAGATCAAATAATGTGACTTGCTTTGCTAAATAATTACCAGAATCATGGAACTACCTATTGTATTTTTTTCGAAAATTCTCCAAATAAAAAATATTTTGATGTTACTGTTCTGACAGTTAACTTACAGTCACTTAACTTTTTTTGTAATTATTATTGTGAGGCAGAACTCTTGTCTCCCAAAAATCCCAGTTGGTAGTGGGTTGGGTTTGGAATACAGGACATATACCAAAAATTTTTAATAAACAACTCGATTTCCATAGTCTGCTCCTACCCCATAGGTTTTCTTTTTTAATATATTTTAATATATATTTGTACTTATAAATTAAGTTCTTCGACTGTCAGCTCAAATCTGTGCACATCACAAGGCCAGTTATAGGACTGCATGTACACTTTCAAAATAGTCATGGCCCTTAAACCTTTCAATATTTTGTCTCACAATGCCACAAACACAAATATTTGTTATTGGAAACTTATGTAAAATAACAACAAAGTGGACAATAAAAAAAAAATCTACAAATGATAAACTGAAAAAATGAGTTAAGCAAAAGCTTTCAGAAATGTGAAGGAGAGCATCATGTGTACATTTAGTAGCTAAGCATATTTATTGTTATTATTTTTTAGGTTTTTTTTCAAGTGATCGGAATGAGCTGTTCAATATTGGCAGATTGGAGAGGTTTCCACTCAGTTGTTCTTTTTAACATGTGGGGCTGGAGGAAAATGCTGTGGGTGGCTTCTTCAAACTTAGGCAGCTCTTCACAACACTTGACAGATTTTTAGAATCTATTCATTGGGAAATCAAAGTGGTTGTCACTCTGTGGCAGAAAATTCAAAAGTTATACATTCCGAAAAACGTGTCTTTCAACTCATATCATTATTTAATTTATTTAGAAGGTTTTGAAATGTTGCAGTCTATTGAACATTAAATCATTTTTTTTAAAACCTGTTTTGACGTGTGTACCCCTTTGGGATTGTTGTCTTACTATGAGTTCCCCTCTCAGCTAAAAGTATTGATGATTGTCCAAAAGTGGAAGATACAATAACTGATTATAAAATAAAAACTTATGTTTTTTAACCTGAGTATTTGATTCTTAGGCATTTTAAAACAACATAAATACAACATGCATGTATTTCGTGGAAGTTAGTAAGGAATCGAACAAAATACAAAATGAAATCATATTATAAACCTGTATTTATAGAAATGGAGCTCCTGAGTAACTCTCTCATAATCAGATTTAAACTTAATGATTTGTGAACAAAAATCATAGCAAAAATTAAAGTTGACTTAGTTTTACTTTCTTTTCAGACTTAGACTGGGATTACTCTATGCTTATATAGAGAACAAAAAATTAAAGTAATATGCCATTAAAGATAAAAATACAACAGACAATATATAAACAGTGTATATAGTACAAAAAAGCATAAAAAAATCTAAAAGTTGTAATGTTCGGGAATATGTTTCCCTTCTAAAAATATCTGCACAGTAGAGAGCTAAAAGACTACACAGTAGTTGTATTGGATTATTGCACTTGTACTGCAGCGATGTACTGACCTTATAAATAAGTGAAAACATACATAGATGTCATGATGGGTTCTCAAAGAGCGACCCAAGTATGCAGAACCCACGAAACGGAAACTGAAGTGAAGGTTTTAACAGAGTTTATTAGACAAGCACTGAGATAATGACAGGTTCGGGTTCAGGCCTGGGAAACTGGTTCACTGGAGTCTGCGTGAGAGACAGTTCTGTTAGCTTAGCACGTTGGAGCTTGATCTCTTGATGATAACAGATTGTACCTTGAGGGTTCTTGAGGTTAGCTTTGGGAGGGTCACTGTTGGATCTGGAGAGGAGTTGCTCAGCAGAGTCCGCTTGCTGCTTCAGCGTCTCACGTCTAATAATGCACAGACCTAGGCTTTGGGTTTTCCAGCTCTTAGTCCTGAGCTGCATGGAAGTTCTCTATGGTTCTTCAGGTTTGGCTCTGAGGGTCGGCTCGGCAGGTTAGCTCTTCCAGAGCTTCACAGAGGAGACACAGGTTTCCTGGAAGATAGAGACAACGGTTAGAATCCTGGCTGGATTCAAAGTCACAAAGATACACTTAGAGTCTAGGCCTAGGCGCTGACCAACTGGATCAACACTGCGACATTGAGGCAAGGTCTGAAGACAGCTTATATAGTGGATCCTCTGATGATGGTAATGAGCAGCAGCTGTGCAGGAGGCTCTGCTCAGGAGGATCCACGGCGGACTCTGCTGGAGAAAGATGGTACTACTCCAGCTCCCAACAATAGACTACACAGTAGTTGGCATGCGTTATTGCAGTGAGAGAGTAGAATATTGTACATGAGTGATATACACTCACCGGCCACTTTATTAGGTACCCCATGCTAGTAACGGGTTGGACCCCCTTTTGCCTTCAGAACTGCCTCAATTCTTCGTGGCATAGATTCAGCAAGGTGCTGGAAGCATTCCTCAGGGAGTTTGGTCCATATTGACATGATGGCATCACACAGTTGCCGCAGATTTGTCGGCTGCACATCCATGATGCGAATCTCCCGTTCCACCACATCCCAAAGATGCTCTATTGGATTGAGATCTGGTGACTGTGGAGGCCATTTGAGTACAGTGAACTCATTGTCATGTTCAAGAAACCAGTCTGAGATCATTCCAGCTTTATGACATGGCGCATTATCCTGCTGAAAGTAGCCATCAGAAGTTGGGTACATTGTGGTCATAAAGGGATGGACATGGTCAGCAACAATACTCAGGTAGGCTGTGGCATTGCAACGATGCTCAATTGGTACCAAGGGGCCCAAAGAGTGCCAAGAAAATATTCCCCACACCATGACACCACCACCACCAGCCTGAACCGTTGATACAAGGCAGGATGGATCCATGCTTTCATGTTGTAGACGCCAAATTCTGACCCTACCATCCGAATGTCGCAGCAGAAATCGAGACTCATCAAACCAGGCAACGTTTTTCTAATCT